AAATGAAGACTACCCATGAGCTTATGAAAACAAATGTCTTTATTTAAAAAGATGTCTCGGTGAGTATGTTCATGGACACCTGTAGAATAATTTTTCTCAAACCTTAAAGGGGAAAGTATTACACGGTTTTGTTTTAGAAACTGACCTCTTCTCATACTGAATTTAATTTAGTGAAAGTAAAAATTCCTTTCTCATTTAAAACAAAATTATGTTTTAAATAACTCGTGATCTAAGCATTTAGATCTGCCCCAAACATCACACGTCAACTAAATTGCAATGACCATATGTACAGACTCTTCCTAAATTTAAATAATGCATAATGTACTGTTAAACTTCATACTGAATAAGAGAGTCTAGCTTATCAGTATCCATAATTTATACTTAGCAATAAAAAAAACATAGCCTCAGATTTGAACTACATAAAAAGGAAGTCACAAGTGGAACCCAGGACTTCCACTTATATGTGAGCTGAGCAGAGCTGGAGAGAAGACCAGAAGGCTGATCTTGGGATCTGATAAGATCGCCTGGATGTCCCTAAGGACTATCAAAGAAACCCAGTGTTTGCTGGCAGAAGCAGTTCTTAAGCATTAAAGCAGAACCAGATGAGAGCAACACCCATTATTTTCAAGTTCTCAGTGCTGGGCCCCAGGATTCCTCCTTTCAGGGAGGGGACCTTCAAACACCTGAATTATTCTGTCCAGAAGAATATCGATGGCAGCACTTAATATATTTTTCATGATCAAAATTTATCACACCTTAATGCTGGGAAGGATATATTCAGATATTTTGAAAGCTAAAGCATGGACTAGGCTATATGCCATGAGTAATACTTAAATTGATCTGATCATCAAGTGTACATCACTTCTCCTATTCTGCCAAGACTTCGTTTTGTTTGCATTTAATGGACACAAATAGTACCAAATAAAAGCTGAGACATCTCAGTCCTTTGGTGATTTAAGGCACATTAGCAAATCTGTCTTGTCCTGCTTCCCTGTTGTAAAGCATGAACAGAGGCTAAAAGTATCATCTGGACTGTACAAAACATTTGAAAGCAGTGGCCTGTCTGCTTTTATTCATTTCCTCCCTCATGGTTTAAGTATAAAACACTGTGATTAAAGGTACTTTTCTTTCCTCTTTCTTTTTTGAGGGTGAAGGCAGTTTTATTTTAATTTTATGGGCTCCTTTCCCCCTTGTAGCAATTACATTAGTTAATAGCGGCTAACCAGTTCTTTAGAATACGCTCTCCAGCAAAGCCTAACTTGATTTAAACACTGTATATGGACAAACTTGATTGTTTTTACCAAAATGGAACCATTAAACAAACATCATAGCCCTCACTAATAACACTGTGACTTTGCTGTAGAATAGTCAGTATATAATCTTCACTTTAAAAGAAGCTTGTGACCATTGTATATGGTTTGTCTAGAAATGTCTGTAAATACGTTCTGTTATTGTAAAGCCAACATTTGTTGTGTCATATAAAATGTGCTGCAAAATTTTACTTTACTTTCATTTTACTCTAGCTGACTCTGGAGTGAGTATGGCACAAATAATAACCACATTCAAATTATTCGTTAATTAACTGGGTAACTGACAGTTAAAAGGTAAGACTAATTCTACTTACCTTCGTACAACTTCTTTCCACCCTTCTTCTCTTTTCTGTCCCCTTTTGGGGCTAGTTAGATTCAGCTTTATGTTTGGAGAACTTAATGGCAATGGCACTGACTTATAGCTTGTTGATAAGGAATTAGAATTCGTTTCGCCTTCAAGTCTGAGAAGAAAGAATTATCAAGTCCAATAAAACAAATTTTCGTACAGAAACTCAAGAGACCATTTACAGACAAAGTTATGCTGAAATATTTAATTTAAAATTTGGCATATCAGTTCAGAAAAGCAGAAAAACAGGGCAAAGAGTTCATCATCTACTTTAGTATCTACTCAGAAGCCAGAGTTGGACTATAATAAATAAAAATGACATGGTGAAAATAAAATCAACATATGCTAGTATTTTCAACTTCAAAAACAAATCATAAAAATTTCTAATAATCTCACTTCAAAACGTGCACATGATTAGGACATTAGTGAATTTCAGTTTTGAATACTGAAGACAGATAATGTGGTAGATCTAAATTGTTTAATACAATTTGTGCTAAAAAACGTACTCAAATTCTTGTGCTGGTCATGAAAAAGGAAAGGTGGATGTATAGTTAACAAATCAGAAAAATTTACCGTGTTTGAGTTTTGGAAGTAGCAGTACTTGTCTTTTCTTCTTGGGAATGGAGTAGCAGTGAGGGGTATCTCCTATCACTAGAGGAATTCACATCCATAGTGAAATTTAACTCTTGGCTTTTACCACCACTGCTACTCTCACTGTTGCAGTCTGTGCTGTCCAAGTTATCCGAGTCACTATTCCCACCAGTACCACCACCTCTGGGTTCTCCGTTTATTTTATTTTTATCAGCTTTTTGCTGTGCTAAGGATATATGTTGTTCTGGTAATATTAAATGTGCAGTGGGAGGGGTCTCCTTTGTTTTGTTCTTCTTATTTTTCCGATTGGTGCTAGGGGTTGTCACCACATTGGCCCTTTTTTTCCCAAACACATTTGTAAATGTTGCAGATGTTGCAGAGATTCCAATTGTGGTGGTGGTTGTTGCACTAGGAGGTTCTATGGGAACTTCTTGCTCCACTGAAATTATCAAAAGGATAAAAGTCACATTGACAGCCACAGATCTCAAAACAAACTATGACAAGATATACATAATAATTCAGTCCTTTAAGTCATCTTTTCCTTTCACCAGTATTCACTAGTAAATAAAGAAATCTTCATTGTTAGAACAAATGTACTAGATGCTATTTTGATGTCTAACTTGGTATAAAAACATTCACACCTTAACATTCTTAAGATCTGAGGTGCTAGTCTCACAAACTAAGCAAAAAATCATAATATAGTTTAAATTCAGGGAAATTTTTGTAGTTTGGCTATTGTTGATAACGCTGATATAAATTTTGGGGTGCGTGGTCCCCTCTGAATTAGTAGCTAGAGAGTAATATGCTAAGCAAAATAAGTCAGTCAGAGAAACACAAATACCATACGATTTCACTTGTATGTGGAATTGAAGAAACAAAACAAATGAGCAAAGGGGAAAAAAGAGAGAGAGAGAGACAAACCAAGAAACACTCTTAACTCTAGAGAACAAACTGATGGTTACCAGAGGGGAGGTGGGCAGGGGGGTGGGTGAAATGGGTGATGGGGATTAAGGAGGGCACCTGTGATGAGCACTGGGTGTTGTATGGAAGTGCTGTCACTAAATTATACACCTGAAACTAATATTACACTATGTTAATGAACTGGAATTTAAATAAGAATTTAAAAAAAAATAAATTCAGGGAAATTTTCAGATAGTATTTTCGAATTAGAATTCAAATAGAGAACAATTACTTGTCTACTACAAGCACCGCTAGAATGTACAAAAAACAAGCTCTGATCTGAGAGTAATAAACCCCAGCCCTGTATAGCTTTGAGCCCGAACCTTAGCTCAGAATTTATTGAGGAACTGGACCTCTCCCCAGTTTCCAAGTGGAGGAGGAAAGGGTGGGACAGACCCTGAAGAGAAGGTGGCAAATCTCTTTACTGCATCACATTTAGGACATATGTGATGTTTTACAGGGTGACTTAAATGACAACTGAACTTCAAATTACATGCTTGCCTTCCCCTTTCTGTTTCTCTGTATCACCTTACAACGTGAATATTCAGAAATATTTACTATAAAAGCCAATTGTCAATTTCAGATTAAAGTACTGAATATCTAACTAGAATTAGAGTAAAAGGTACCCAAAATGAAGTTAAATAAACACAGAATTTTATCACTAATTTGGAAGGGTCATTTCTTACCATCTTCATCATTCTCCTCTTCATCTTCATCCTCTGGTAGTTCTGAATTCTCCTTAGATTTGTTTTCCTCATCTTCTTCCTGCTTCCTTTTCTGCTCCTCTTTTTTCTTCTTTCTCTTTTCTTTTCTTTTCTCTCTTTTAGCTGCAAGAGCCTGCTTTCTGCTCTCCTCTCTTGACTGCAAATTAAGTAGGCATATCATTTCACCAATAATGCAGTCATTTAAAATAAAGAATGAATACTTTTGTGTATGATAGATGGGGCTTCCCATGTGTCAGTCTCAAAACACATTTATAAAAGCACCAAAAGAAAAAAAAAAAAGATAAACCAGACATCAAAATTAAGTTTTGTACTTCAACAAAACCATCAACAAAATAAAAAAGACAATGCGTAAAATGGGAAAAGAGTTTTTGCAAATCATACATCTGGGTAAGGGATTTGTATCAAGAATATATGAAGTCCCGGGGTGCCTGGGTGGCTCAGATGGTTAAGTGTCTGCCTTCAGCTCAGGTCATGATCCCAGGGCCCTAGGATCGAGCCCCACATTGGGCTCCTGGCTCAGCGGGGAGACTGCTTCTCCCTCTCCCTCTGCCTCTCTCCCTGCTCATGCTCTCTCTCTCTCTCTGTATCTCTGTGTCTCAAATGAATAAATAAAAATCTTAAAAAAAAAAGAGTACATAAAGTCCCATGACTCGATAATAAAAAGACAAATAACTAAAAAACTAACTAAAAAATACACAAAGGACCTTGAGGCATTTCCTCAAAGACCATACATGAATAGCCAAAACATATGAAGACAGGTGCTCAATAATTACTAGACATCAAGGAAAAGCAAATCAAAATCATAACAAGATAACCACTCTGTGCCCACTAGATAGCTATAATCAAAAGACAGATAATAGCAAATATTGGTGAGGATGTGGAAAAACTAAAAAGTTCAAACATTGCTGGTAGGAACGTAAAATGGTGCAGCTGCTTTGGAAAACAATCGGACAATTCCTCAAATGGTTAAACACAGAATTACCCTATGATCTAGCAATTCCCTTCGTGTGTGTGTGTGTGTGTATACCCAGAGAAATGAAAACACATTCATACAAAAATTTGTACCATGTGCTCGCTTTGGCAGCACATATACTAAAAAATGTCTAACAATAAAGAGATTAGCATAGCTCCCGCACAAGGATAACATGCAAATTCATAAGGCATTCCATATTAAAAAAAAAAAGTAAAGAAAAACTTGTATACCTATGAAGCAGAAATAACCTGAATGTCCATCAACTAATGAATGGATAAATAAAGCGTATGTTTATAATGGGATATTATTTAGCAATAAAAAGAAATTAAGTATTGATACATGTGACAACATGGTTGAACCTTGAAAACATTATCAAGTGAAAGAAGCCAGTCACAGAGGAACAAATATTGTATGATTCCATTTATATGAAATGCCCAGAATAGGCAAATCCATAAAGACAAAAAATAGTTTAGTGGTTACCTAGGATGGAGGGATTGAAGGGGGTGACACTTAAAGGGTGTAGGGTTTCTTTTTAGGATTGTGAAAATATTCTAAAATTGACTGTGGTGATAAATGCACAACTCTGAATATACTAAAAGCCACTGAATTATATACTTTATCTATTTGCTTGTTTGAAAAAATATATATATTTTAAGATTGTATTTATTTTCTCCCTCTCCCTCTGCCATTCCCTCTGCTTGTGCTCTTCTATCTCTCTGTCAAATAAATAAAATCTTAAAAAAAAAATTGCATTTATTTGAGAAAGAGACAGAGAGAGCACAAGCAGGGGGAGAGGCAGAAGGAGAGAGACAAGCAGACCCCCTGCTGAGCAGGGAGCCCCACGCAGGGCTCCATCCCAGGACCCCGAGATCACGAACTGAACCGAAGTCAGAGGCTTAACTTGACTGAGCCAGCCAGTCACCCCTGAACTGTAGACTTTAAATGGGTGAATTGTATGATATGTGAATTAAATCTTAGTAATACTGTTAAAAAATACATTTATGTAGCATCTGTTTTACTAAAAAATTTCACTATAAACATATTGACCAGAGGCTATTATAAAAATTATTTTCCTACTTTATAGAATTTTTTAAAGCCACATACGTAATTCTGATCACTTTTAGGTTTTGCTGTGGCTAGTACTAGAAAATGTCATTTTTTTCAGAAAGGGGAACATAGTAATAAGTTGCTAGCATCATGAAAGTTTGTAACAAGTAGAAAATACATCAAGTTATTTATCCTTCTATGGTAATTAAGTAAAGCATTTTCCTCAAAATTATAATTTACCATTTTGAGGCATAAATTGATTATTCTTTGAAACTTTTATTTATCCAAATCAGAGGTTGGCAAACTATGGCCTGAATGCCAAATCCAGTCTACCAGCTGTGTTTATATGGCCTGAAAGCTAAGACTAGCTTTGACATTTTAAATGGTTGAAAAAAATAAAATGAGTATTTCATGACACTTGAAAATTATATAAAATTCAAATTCCAGTGTTCAAAAATAAAGTTCTATTGGAACACAGTCATGCTCATTCATTTAGCTATTGCCTATGGCTGCTTTTATGCTATAACAACAGAGCTGAGGACTTAGGACAGACATCATATGGCCTGCAAAGCCTAAAATATTTACTGTTTGGCATTTTATAGAAAAAGTTTGCCAATTCCCTACGTAAATGAGAAAGGACTGAGAGAAGAGATTGCATATTCAGCTAAAAACTGAATTTCATCACTCTGTTGGCATAAGAACAAATACGGAATTGCTGACCATATCCCTGGGTAGTTACACAAAAATCAAAATTATAGACATGAAAGGTACCTTAATAGTCATCTATGAACTCTGCTTTATTTTTATATGATAAAACTTCTTTTCCCTTCTGATTTTAACTGTAATCTTAAGGTTTATACTTTCCCCCTATTAGTAATGAATGTCCTTATATGTTCACATCTTTTGAGCATTTGTCTAATTATTTACCTTAGGCTAAATTTCTATAAGTAGAATGAATGGTGGGAGTAAGGGTATCCACCTTTTTAATTTATTTGTGAAAGCACTTCCATTAATAGTTACAGTAATTTACACCATATATCAAAAATCATTCACTAGAGTGCTAATCTTTCCCCACCCTTGCCATCAATAGCTATTACCTAATCTTCAAATTTTAAGCTTTGCCAATGTGGTAGAAAAAATTAATTGAATATTTGTATTTCTTTTTCTGTGAACTGCCCATTCATGTGATCATTTTTTATTTTGGGCAAGTTACATTTTTCTCATTGATTTGTAAGCAACCTTTTCTTCTGTTCTTAGCTTATATGTTTTTTGGGTTTTTTGTTTGTTTTTAGAGAGAGGGGGGCAGGGAAGGGCAGAGGGAGAGGGAGAAAGAGAATTTCAAGTAGACTCCATGCCCAGTATGAAGTTTGATGCAGGGCTTGATCTCACAACCCTGAGATCAGGACCCAAGCCAAAGTCAAGAGTCGGACACTTAACCGACTGAGCCACCAGGCACCCCATGTTTTTTTTTTCTTTTTTTTAAACTAAGAAATGGTTTCAAGATTTTAGTATCTCTCAAAATAACCATATATTTTTCTTCTTTTAATTATCAACAAAATACCTTCATGTTATATCTCTTGCATTCCTAAAAGAATTCTACTTGATCATAGTGTTTGTTCTTTTAATACGACTTGTGGATTGAACAGCAACACCCTCATTTTTCAGGTAAGCGGAATGACCCTCAGAAAAGCAGTCTTGTTTTTTTAACCTTTTCCATTATACCACACAACCTAGGATATTAAACACTCTTTAAGTGAGGATCTAATAAACCACTAATAGCACACACCTTATAATTACCAAAAGATTTCCAATGTTTTACTAAATTTTTTCTCAAACCAATGTTAAAACCACTTAAGTAGGGGCGCCTGGGTGGCTCAGTTGGTTAAGCATCTGCCTTCGGCTCAGGTCATGATCTTGGGGTTCTGGGATGAAGCCCCCTGTAGAGCTCCCTGCTCAGCAGGGAGTCTGCTTCTCCCTCTCTATCTCCCCCTCCCCGCTGCTCATTCTCTCTCCCTCTCTCAAATAAACAAATAGAAAACCTTAAAAAAAAACCCACATAGGTAGTAATGTCATCTGGTAAACTATGATCTGCTTGAAAACTAGTCTCTTACTTATATGATTCAAAATATTTTTTAAGAACAAGAGGTCACAATCAAACAGTTGATGGTGATTTGACTATTAATCATTTCCTTTGAAAGAGATTTTGTTACGGTTATTGGTCATAAGGATGGTAAATTTATTCCAGCAAATTTCCAGAAATTCTTTTTAAAAAGTTTTAAATTTATTTATAAGTAAGTAATCTCTACTACAACCAGTGTGGGGCTCAAACTCACCACCATGAGATCAAGAGTCACATGCTTTTCCAACTGGGTCAGCCAGGTGCCCCAATTTTCAATAATTTCTAAAAAGAAAAATTATTTTTCTTACTCACCTTTTCCAGATCAAGTTCCTTCAAAAGAATACTTGCATTCTTATTTGCTTCTGCAGCCTGCTGGTCTTTAGCCTTCACAATTGTCTCAACACATTGGTGACATTTTTTTAAGAGTTCCTATAGTGGAAAATGGAATTATATGAATATAGGAACACATTACATCAACAGGGCAAAAAAAACTTGAACTGATGAGCACAGTGAAGTGCAGGACTTAAAGCCCAAACAAATGAAAATTCACTAAGCCAAATATAAGCTATCCTTTGAGTCTAGTCATATATTAATCTTTCATCAAAAAAGGGTACTATTTCCTAAAAAGTTTGTGTTCTTAGAAAACTTTGTAATCAGGCTAATAGTCTAGCAATAACCTTTAGCCACACTCACTGTGATTGTAGCCCACAACAGGAAGGAAATCTCAAAATAATTTATCAAAATTATTATATCCATTCTCCATGGAGAAACTAAAGCAGAGATAGATTAGGTGATCAGTTTCATAGAAGACAAAAGGAAGGTGGCTAACTGCACCCTTTGGCATACAATTCCACAAAGAACAAAAATGTGCTTCAACAGTATATTAAACCTACCTTATCTGTAATTGTTGCTATGTATCTCATGCATTCTATATCAGAAGGGAACTGATTGACTTCCTTCACCAAATACTGAACAACTTTTACATGACCCTGTAAAGAAGTACAACAAAAAATGCACAAAAGAACTCCTTGACAATTTGCCCATATGCTTAACAACTTAAGAGTAAAAGGTATGGTACTACTTCCAGATAGTTTACTAAACTGAAAACTAAAATTATGAAAATAAAAACAACATGCTCATGTATTTCTCCTAAATTTAATCTAGCATTTCCCCACTGAAAACAGAAAAACTTTTGTAGAAAACAAGTATTTCCTAGAGTAAATTTATTAATAAAAATTGGTGGTGTGAAATGAACCTTTATATAAAAGGGAAATTGGTACTAAAACAGAGAGATGTTCTAGATTTCAAAGCATTATTTTAGGTCCATCTTACTAAACAAGGTAGAGGCTCACATTTATATAAGTCTCATGACTTGAATCTTAGGTAAAATGCTTTCTAAATGCTATGATCACAGGCGAATGATGTAATTAATTCTAAGTACCATCTATTTTAACATAACCAAACTTGCATAGTTTTCCTCCTACCAGGTTCTAAAACACCTTCAAGAATTAGTCTGATGGTGGGGCGCCTGGGTGGCTCAGTCGTTAAGCGTCTGCCCTCGGCTCAGGTCATGATCCCACGATCCTGGGATTGAGCCCCGCATCGGGCTCCCTGCTCAGCGGGAAGCCTGCTTCTCCCTCTCCTGCTCCCCCTACTTGTGTTCCCTCTCTCGCTGTGTCTGTCTCCGTCAAATAAATAAAATCTTAAAAAAAAAAAAAAAAAGAATTAGTCTGATGGTGACAAAATTCAGAAAAGTCATTGCCTCCAGGGCAGGGAATTGAGAATGGGCATAATGGAACTTTCTAGGATTACAGAAGCATTTTATATATTTATGGAGTGTGGGTTCCATAGGTAATTATGCATTTATCAAAACTCATTAAACTATGCACCTTAGGTTTGTATATTTCACTATATATAAATGATCCCTCAATTAAAAGGAAAGGAAAAATTAAAAAAAGAATTAAGTCTAGAAAATATTTTAAGTTCTTTTGTTAAGATACAAAACTTATACTGTTCTCTTTCAGTAACTATTTAGT